CAATTGTTACGAAACGCTCATGTTTTTTTTTTCTGCAGAAATGACCCCAACAATTTTGTGAGAGTTTGTTTGGGAGAAACCTACCAGAAAAATCGTGGGTGGAAGCCGCTCTGCAATCTATTTAGTCCTTCTGAGCAAGACCGAAAGTGATTAATGCAATATGAAACACTCTCTACGCAACAGTGCCTTAGTCATTAGAGAAATTTCGCTCCTCGAGCTTGCGATATTGAATACTTTTTGAAGAGGAAGAAAAAATGGTGAAGCAAATAGGAGATACAACTCACAAGGAGGGCTGTTTGGATCGGAAAAAACACTATCGCTTTTTTCTTCTGTTGATCTCATTCGTTCCTCTGAGTTTGCTTCGGTTGCATTCCGATCGACAAMTGCTGACGGAGAATGTTCACATCAATGGCCAACATGGATCAATAACAATGGAGCTCCAGGCAGCCACACGGGTTATGAAACCAAAGAAACCAAAACGAAACATGCTGCTGACGGCACATATTCCGGGGAGCCCGCGAACGGAAGAACACCAGTGCCTAGGGGAATGCGAGGCGACGCAAAATGCCCTGAAAGCAGATACAGAATGCTCGGCAAGAACCATGGGCGAAGACTGGAAGGCGATCACCGTCACCAATCTCGATGAATTCGAAAAACAATTTCAGATGCAACTGGAGCAACAACCACAGCAACACGCATGGCCCTTTTCGCATTACGTGAAGATCCACATTTTGGAACGACTTTTATTCGGTGAAAATGCAAACGGTGTGGCACAAAATGATACTGTAAACGGTAGTGATAATGCCGGTTATGATGACGATAATAATGACTATGACATCGATTGGATGGTTTGGGTCGACGCCGACGTTCGTATTGTAAACGCAAGCTATCCCGTTTCGAGATTACTGAATGAGGATGCWAGGTTTCAACGAGTTTCATATTACGGAATCGATGACGAAAGCAAACGATACAGAGAAAACACGGGCAATGAGATCACAGGAGTTCGCGGTGCCACAAAAAGCGATGTGAGCATCGTTGTGATGTCRCAGTATGCCGACAATATTAGTAAGTTTCGATGTGAACAATACAGGTTGAACGTCATTCCACTAGAACAGTCGAAGTTTTATGTATGAGCGGGATTTAAGTGGGCAATATATCTGATGTTTATTWTGTATCATCTGCTTTGCCTTCAACCTCGTTTTAGTTAACAACCTTTTTTTCATAAAGAATAATCCTTGGGGCAAACGCTTTTTGTTAGCTTGGAAGCATTATACGTTGAACGCAGAGAACATTCATAGAGAAAAAAAATGGAAAACTTGCGGGTTCTACGACCARTGCCCATTTGGTGTTGCCTTATTGCAAATTGCACACGACTATTATTGGTTACAACGCCAACGAACAAATGATCAGTTTTTGGATGATGAGCAAGAGGTGCAATCGGCCTCGAATCCATTGGAATCTCGCCTGTTTAATTCCACACTGGAAGATATGGCCTTCCGGTCTGGAGCAAACATTCAAAACACTTTGTTCAAGGACGAGTTGAATCGTCTTATGTCATTGCAATCGAACACTTGGACGAATACGAATGTACCTCTACAGATTGGACCCATCTTGTTTCTACCGACTTGGGAAGGCGGTTTGAGACTTCCCTCGCCTGGGTCTATTAGTCCGAGCAATTCGAATGGGACTATCGGCAAAAATGATAGTGATAGCATCTCAGAAAACACAAATTATTACGACTTCATTCCATCATCCTTGACGATTGAACCAACTRGTTCTTTTGAAAGCAGCTACAATAACACAGCTTGGCCGTTTGCAATTCATGCGAAGTACAGCAAACTCTTCCGTGACTATTACGACGAGAAATTTGCTGACTTTGAAAGGAAGTACACAGCGTTGCACCGAGACCAATGCACTCCATCCGAACTTTCGTCGATGTGGAACGACACAGCTTCACGCTGGGCGAGATCAATAAGAAGTACGAAATGGCTATCAAGTGAGTCCAAGCAATAACTCAATCGGAATGATGGTTTCAAATCAGACTTTGACATTCAATCATCAAACTATTTGCAGTCCTTGTTTACCATGTCATAACTTTCATGTTCGTGTGTGGGTCCTCCCAACGATATGGTTACTAATTGGTCAATTGGTAATTGGCAAGCTACAAAAACATATGTACCGTACAAGTATTTGAATTACGAAGTACAGTACTGCAATCATTAATGTATCAAAGAATACGTGAGTTTTACCAGTACCGGTGCGTGAGAGTACCAGTGCAAAATATTAATGTTGCTCTTTAKTTTGTGCAAGGGGGTTTACGGTACGTAAAGAGTGAGGGTTTTCACTGGGWATTCACTCRCTAGCTACTCGTGATTGTGGTTCAGCCTCGCACCACCCTGCACTTGCAGAATCGAAATCCGTGATTGAATCAAGTGAGTTGGATAAATTGAATCTACTGTTAGTATGTAGTAGATCATAGGATTTAGATTGCAAGTGGAGCAAAATGTGCTTGTGTTTGTTAGTATAGTACCAGTAAGGTGTGYCGTGTACTCGTCAGTGGTGTGGTGAGAGGTTGTAGAGGTGAAACAAGAGGATGTSCAATAGAGCAGTTAGTGTAGTCTTATGATAGACATGCAAACAGTACATTATACTMTAAAGCCGTAGCAGATATGAATTAACGCCATTACACCATGCTATTGCTGTGTTAGAGCAGCTGGTGGTGGGGTGGGATAAGGGTGTTTTAGATTAGGTTGAATGAAAAGAAGTGTGTGTAAAAGCAACTGCTGCTGGAAGCTTCCCCTACATACTCAACACAGTGATACAGTGTATCAGGGATAAGACACTATGACTGTGTGTGCTGTGTGTTTAGGGGTCATTTAGAGGCTCCTCTAGGATCATTTGGTACTGGAATGAACAGCCCACAACAAACAATAGATATGTACGTATGCTAAACATGCCACGTACCAAACAGTCTGAATTGTTTGAGTCNATCATTTGGTACTGGAATGAACAGCCCACAACAAACAATAGATATGTACGTATGCTAAACATGCCACGTACCAAACAGTCTGAATTGTTTGAGTCATAAGATCCAAGAATACATATACATTGTATGATCCAACCATCCATGTGATTTATACACTCAAGACAAAGCCAGTTAGTGATCCAAATTTAAAGGTTAGTAGTTCAGGCATGTTGAATGGCATCCACAATATCTTTGGTTGATGTAATCAGCTTATCATCTACTGAGGTATTTATGGTGCCAAGTAGGTGTCTTTTCCAGCCCCTAATTTGGTTGTGGTTGTATAGATTGAAGTTCTACAGCCATAGAGATGTCTGGGTGTGAAGCCGCAATGAAGCACATAGTGGGGTGAATACAGTGTGCATTTTTGAAGGGGAAGGGCCTGCTGTGAGGTCTCATAAATGAACATATTAGTGGAAATGTCCAGCGTGGACATGTCTGGGACAAGAAGGGCTGCAATATCTGGGTGTTCAAATTTGGTGCATTTGCACAAAATTCGTGTACTCTTAGTATGTTTAAGTGCTGTGTGGTATGAAATCAAAATTATAAGATTAAAGATTATCATGCGAATTGTCGAGAATTCCAAAGTTCCGATTAGATCCTTGTGTAGGTCTGGTACTGAATCTACACAGGGTTCTTGCTATTAAGTGGAACTCGTGACATCTTTGTTCTTCGCAAGGTGATCTATCTCTAGATATCTTGGACCTCTTACGATCCTCGATACAATGGATTGTATAATACATATATATGAATAGTACCTTATGATATGTAGGTAGTAACAGTATGTACATATTCATTGCAGCATTGGATACAAGCAGCGGCTGCGGAGAATTTTGGATTATCTCCTCAACAATGTTGGTTGGGTCTATTTGTTGAGGGTCTTTAAAGGATAGTTCAACCCATTCTGGTTCCTTCTTTGTAGTATGCTGGAGGTGTTGTCCTTCTGTGAAGGTTTTCAGAAGATGGGTAGGGACAGATGATCTATTGCTAGGGTCATTGTCATATTGTAGTTCATTGTCCTTAGAGTCCTGTCTAGCAATCCTGTCTATGGCACAAGGGTCTGTAGTGCAGGTGTCAACAATAGATATAGGAGGTTCTTTATTTTTGATAGGAATGGTCCAGAGTGCCCATGTGGCAGCGTCAATGATTGTGAGGAAGCCTATGTATCCCTGATGACTCTGTTGAAGGAGGGTAACAAGACAAGCCTTCTCCTTATAGTTGAGAATGCCTTGAAGGTTTGGTGGACCACTGACAAAGCATAAGTCCATATGGAAGGATTGTCATATCATGAACTGTTCTTTGCAAGGTTTGTGTTTGCCATAGAATAATTTCTCATAAAATGGCCATTTAAAGAATGGTACCACACCAGGGATACTAAGAATATCATAACAAGTGTTTGCCACACTAAGAAATTGGTTCCCATTGWTAATTTTCTGATGCCATCCTTAGCACAGTAGAAAATAGTAGAAAATCTACTGAGGTAGTTTGCAACTATTCTGGTGGTGCAGAACTGATCCTGCTTCTTTCTCACACCAAGGCGAATCATGCTGAAAATTTTTGGGACCAAAACTCAGTAGGAGAGCTCGTCTGTAGAATTTGTACTGAAAAAATAAGGATGGCATCATTAAATTAAGGACGAGAACCAATTTCTTAGTGTGGTGATCACGTGTTATGATATTCGTAGTATCTGGAATACCATCAACTACTTTCTTTGTCTTCAAGAAGGTTGATGGGGAGATATATTCATACTGCTGGTGCTGTAGTTCTAAGTTTTTCAGTGCTTTAAATAGCCCAGAGGACCATGTTTTTGTTGATTGAGATTGGTCAGTGGTGCCATGAGATTTGTTGAGGTGTGCTCCTTAAAGAGCCAAAGTTTGTCAACAATGTCGTCATTGTCCAGTGAATTGCAGACCAGGATCTTGTTTGGCCTGTACTATTCCCCATTGTTGCTCCTATTTGTTTGGCCTGTACTATTCCCCATTGTTGCTCCTATTTGTTTGGATAGACTGTTCTATTTGGTCATGTGAGTTTAGGAACTGTACAGTTCCTTTATTTGTAGTGTGTTGCCCCTGTCAAAATGTGTAGAATTTGTGTGATTGTTGGTAGTGGTCTGGGGAAAGTATTGTTCCAGTGGATTTTGGTGTGCAGAGTGTACACCAACGCATGACCATGCCTTGATCTGATACTATGTGTATGTAGCCTTCACCACCATGTGCCTTGAGTACATTTTGTAGGGAATCATCTGTAGAGGAGAAGACGTGTASCTCGGGTGGTGTGTTAGTATCATATTGTATATAGTTGTGAAGAAGTTGGATAGATACACTAGATAGTAGTCGTGGGGGATTGAGCTGTTACAAAAGGTGAAACATGTAGTTGTTTGAGAGCAAGATGGGGGGAGCCCTACAATGTAAGACATATATGTGATTATGTGTTTTTGCAGTGTAGGTAGTAGTGTGTCTTGCGTATGTGTGGTGTGTCTTCATAGAAGTCTGACACAAGCAAGTCGGCATGAAAGCAGAAAGGGGTAAGACTGTTGCTAGTAAGTGTGAGCAAGGATGGCTGGGACTTTGGTTGTATTCCATAGTGTACTAATAGTAGGTGTGACTGCATGTAGGGCATGAAGTTTCAAGGTGAGTACATTTGCCACATTGCATGTGTGTTGGGGTAGTAGTGACATCCAAAGTACACTATATAGGGGAGGAGAGGGTGACAGTGAGTGTGTGTAGACTGTCATGTGTATGTTGATGGGAATSAAATGTGTGTGTAAATGCAGTATTGGAAGCTACTGAGTGTGTTGTAGGGTTAAGTATGGTATTGGTTCCACCACTGGATTCATTTTTAGATGCAAGTACAGAGAATATTGTAGGGCTGTGTATGTGATCTAAAGTATCTGCAGATTTAGTTGTTGGTGAGATTGCTGCAGCAGTACTAGTGCTCATAGTAGCAGTGGTAGTATCTCTATTGTTCACCATGGGAGAAGCAGCAACCATATTGTTGTTGAAGATAGTAAGGTCTGGATGATTTGCTCTGGAAGGTGGGTATTGAGTTGGCCGAGCCTTGCTAGAGACACRGCAGCCTCCCTATTTTCTGATTGTGTTTGGTGTGTTGTCATCATCAGTCCCTTCAAGAGCCTGAACCCAGGATTCATGTGTTTTCTTGTGTTGGAGTTCATCTGTAATATGGTCACCAAGYGCAGTTTCAAATAGTTTAACAACATTTTTCRTATTCATTTTATGGTATTTGCTTGCAKTGGTGCAAAAAGGCTCAGGATTTGTTGYRGAGTACTGTTGAGCATGGTGGATCTGAGCACTGAAGTGGCAGACTTGATCACCAATATTGTGTCCAAAAGTATGAGAACATCCACATTGAGTTTTGTTGTGACATTCAAACTTCTTCTTTGGAGTGTCCTGTTGTACTTTGTTCATATTGGGCTGAGCTGGTTGTTGTTGTATATGTGATAGGGGAGGGACATCTGGATAGTCTAGTACTATGGCAAGGATCAATCTTAGAGAGAGGTGTTCCAGAATTGGGCAATCATCAGCCCCTGGGARTTCACATTTGTATGTACTTAGAGTGTACATGAGGCAGTTCCCTGCAGCATACTAGCTATAGTTTTTCATAATTTGAGGAGCAGCAAATTCAAAGCTTTGGTCTAGTTCTGAATATGTGTTTTTGTCAATCAGTCTGTTGATTCAAACATGTTCCAGAAGTTTGCCAACATATGCGCCAGGGTTATCATCTACAGTCCATTYAGGGCCCCAGCCAGTGGCAGTGGGGCAGAGACATAATAGTGATTGACAAGCCATGGCAAAAAGGGCACTGTATCCCATTAAGCCTTGTATTTTGGTTAGTAGAGGGCTAAGAATCATTTGGGAAAGCCTCTGATAGAGGTAGGTGCTGATCTTACAGATATTAATTTCTGTTTCACCATGATCTGAAGGAAGGGATTGATGATGAACATGAAGGTCAGTGATGGGGAGGTTCACTAATGTCATGAGGCTGTAGAACTCATTGTACAGTATTTTAAGTTTGGTGGCCATGAGATATCAGTTTTCCTGGTGGCATTAGGTTGTGGTTTATATGTTTGTGGTCCAATAATAAGTTAATGGCCTTGCTTATGTGGTGGTTCTGTTCCTGTTCCCAATTGTTATTTGTATGGCGTTGACAGGGATAATGGACTGGTGGGGCCCAGTTGCTTCTTACAAATAAATRAGTTAACCTTGTCCACAATAGATGCAAACCCATGCAGTTGAGTTGGTMTATCATCCTCCAAGTTGTTGTTGTCAGGGAAGGGTCTGAATCATTTGGGTCTGATGGTGGATGATCCAGTGTAAAGTCATGTTCAACACCATTGGTTAGGCAAGTTTGTGAGGGGGGATTCCTTCCATAGGAATTGCAGGATCATTGGCAGGGTTGGCCTGCATGACAGTGTGTGGTGGTCCCATTAGTGTGTTAAGGTAGTTAAAGTTCTGTTCAGTGCGTAGGAGAATAAGGTCCTTAATTGTCTCTGAGTGTGTGAAGTAATCCTTGATTGTAGTAGTGTCAACATCACTGTTGAATTTGGCTGAGGCAAGAASGGTGTTCAGCAAGGATATAGTGATGTCATTAATGATTGTGGATGTCTTTGGGGATTGTAATAACATTTGATGGATGTCTCGATGGATGCTTGAGCTTTTGATGCAGTTGTTGCAATTTCAACACWAGCAGTTGCCGTGTCACCAGTAATACTTCTTGTGATATCTAGAYGTTTGGCTTCTATCTGAGATACAAAGTGTTGAGTCAACTAGTATGTTCTTTGTTTGGAGGATATTGGTTCTATACTGGTCCACAATAGACTGGATTTGAGTCATTACTTTGTGTAAGGTTGCTAATATTGCCTTATCTTTCACACTCTAGATGACTGGATCTTGTTTGTCTGCTGTAGAAAGGGATATCAGTTTCTTCTTGTTGATGACAGTTTGGATAGTGGATTCCATGGTGCTTAAGAGGTCAAGCTTGCTGTGTTCAATGAATTCCTAAATTTTGAGGTGTGGGCAGTCAATGTGGGGTCATTTTGCATGTTTTGTGTTGGTGTTTAACCATTGTGGTGATGTTTTGGTTTTGGTGCTGGTTTCTGGTGGTGTTTCTGTAATCAGATGASTACAGTTTATGAGTGAAAATGACTGGGGTGTCATTGTTAGCAGCTGCTTTAGATGAAGCAGATGCTGTTGGTGAAACCAGGATGACAGCTGGTGGAGGAAGATGTACCATAGAATTCTACATGATTTAGTACAGGGTTCTCCGGAGAATGATTCTTGCAACAACAAGGCCAGTCAGATTTGCAATAAGTTCTTCTGAATGCGGAAGAAGGGAAACCAAAGTGGCTCACCTAGTTCTTGCTTGAATGATAGTAAATCAGTCTACACTTTGTTGTTGATAATTTGGTGATGAGGCAAGTAAGTTTGTTGCTCATAACCTGCAAAATGTTAATGTTGCTCTTTAGTTTGTGATAAGGGGTTTACATGACAAAGAGAGAGGGTAGTACTCACTTTATATAGAGAGAGGGTAGTACTCACTTGCTAGCTACTTGTACCCGTGCCTCACAAACAGCGTTCTTGTATTAAATTAAAGCGTGACGGTCTGCTTCTAATTACATCGTAGTCTCTTAACTTTTTCCCGTTGTGTGTTGCCAAATGTTGCCACCTGGAAAATTTAGGATTTTTTTTCTTTTTTGCTACTACTGCTAGTACTGCACTACTACTCTACTTATCACACCCCTCTCATCACTATAAACAATATTATAAGAATATATTTTAACAAATATGATCCATAAATATATTCATTTATAACACATCACTACACTTGATGGTTGAAGTTACTCCAATGCTCTTTACATACAGCAACATTGCAACTTCTGGAACCATTCCTTGACATTTTCATACTAATCCATGCTGGCAACTTCCTCAATCTCTTCACTGATGAGTTAGGATACCTACTATGCTTTGCTTCTTCTACACAGATAACACAATAGTTCCTCTTTACTCCTTCATACTTGCCACTGTATCTTTCTTTATGTGGCTTTGACATTACCTTTCCATGAGCAATGGTGCTGGTCTTCTTGTTCACACAGAAGAAACAAATCCCACAATTGCAAGGGTGATATTTTCCATTCTTTGAAGTCTGACGAGCCATCCACTCTGGCTTAGAACCTTCATCATATTGAGCTTTCCAGTCCATTTCAATACCTCTATTCATCAATGCAATGCCAAGATGAGATTGAAACTTGTTTTGATTTGTATATCTTCTATTCCTTCATAAACTTGTCACATGCTAGGCTAGTGATAATTATGTAGCAGGAGTGTACCACTCTATCAAGCAATCAGAAGAAAATACAAAGGTACCATTTGATACCCTTCTTTATTCTTCATATAGCTTGGTCTCAACTTGAAGTTGTCAATGAACATTCTACGGCCATTTTGTTGTCCAAAATTGGATTGRCGTACCAACTGCTGAATAGTATCCCATGTAGACCCACTACTAATACCAGTGTAGATCTTAAATGCAATTAAGTTCCCAGTATCAGCATCATACACACAGTACACCTTAATACCATGCTTGATTGGGTTCTTGAGAAGATACTGGACAAATTGAATGCATCTTCCTTTGTAAACAATCATAGACTCATCAACAGATAGGTCAATATTTGCATGTCACCCAAGACAAAGACAATCAGCAATTTCTCCAACACAGTACGGATTTTGTAGAGTGTTATCAGTATCATTAGYGTGGACTGAGGTGGTCGCACCTCCTCCAGGTGATGTATACTGGTGGACATTGGGAGGAGATGCAGGAGGATACTACTAGTAGTACCAAGGGAGACCCAGTATCATACTTTTTGATGATCAGATCATATGGGTCCATGGTCATCTTGGGAGGGGCTCCTAGTACTATGAGGGTGCAGGCCAACAAAACTGKTGTCAGATAGGTCTGCATCATTCTGAGGAGTATGACCATGATAGTACAAACAATTGTTGTCAACCGCCACCATCACAAAGAAAAAAATAATCATCATCCATCTTAGTAATATGATTATTTTATGTTGGTAAATATGATGGTTTGGTTTATACTTTACATTCTGGTATGGAGTATTTTATATTTTCTTGGTTGGATATTACAAGGAGAGAAATGAATGAGTAGAAAAGGTGTTTTATATAAAGTAATTGTTTAAAACTCTTTTTGGTATTTCAGTCTTATTTTGTGTAGGATTTGTACTGCAGTCTACACAAGTGAAAATCATGGAAACTCCAAAAAATGCACGATTTGGGCGGAGACGTSAAAAAGTTAATTTTTGCACCGTAGTATTTTGCGTTGGCCAGCCAATTCTCGTAGTACGAACTCATACGTACGAGTACTCGTACAGTCGGTGTGAATATTCATTCGTACCGTACCGTAACTGGTACCGTACGTAATCAACTCAGTTATCTGAGATGACACCAGCGGTTGGATCGGCTAGATTTGCGAATGCCCGAGCGCTCTCGAGGGATGCCTGAATGTTTGGAATCATACTCAACGATGCAACTCCTCCAGACTGTTCCACCAAGGTAATTAATTCTCTGCGAAGCGAAAAGTTCTCTTTCGTAAGCACAGCATTGTCGGTCGTCAGATTCTCTACGGAATCCTGGAGGTCGGTAAGAAGCTTCTTTCGTCGTTCRCGGCTCTCCCTTGCCGACCTTCGATTYGCCATGATGCGTCTCATCTTGCGTGCCTCGCGGCGTTTTTCCGGATCTAGTTCGTATTCGTTTTGATCGTCACCCCCAACAGCTCCACTCTTGTCTCCTTCAGTCTCCCCCGTTGAATCTCGCTTGTTACCCGCCAGAGAGGCGTCCTGTTTTTCACCTGCCATTGTGCTCGAGGTATGAGGTGTTATTGCTTTGGATAATTGCAACCGATTGAAATGCAGCTATTGCGTGTTAGATTGGATGTCTCGTGGTTGACGGCACCTCAGTTTCGTAACAATTGAATACGGCCGTGCGAGCGCAAGTGCTCTCCAGAAACAGTGTCTGCTTCGATTTCGATGTTTTTGGAAAAAATTAATTCTTGATTCTTGATCCATTTGGATGCCTAGTACCGGTACCAGGTTTGTAGCGTGCCGTTACTTTACAAACCAATTGCCCGCTATGGTACTTACCACGTAGTATTGTACGTACGTKATGTGACGGTACGCGAGTACAGCCTTGYCTCTAGCGAAAAAACCTCGTATCTGTTCATTCGAAGAAACAAGACACAATTCGCAATGCACAACAACTGCGATACGACATTCATATTCTTGAACAACCAATCMCGATACTGTACTCGACTGAGAAACCTTTGAATAAGATACGAGAAAGATGGCCATAGATGACCCCTTTGAATACCTCACGTTCGGTGGGACCTTCGGAAGATCCTTTGGATTACTGTTCGACCGCTTCGATCTTTTCATGGCCGTGTCAGTCGTTGCCATGATTCCTTTCTTCGTGATATACTTGACCATGGCTATCTTCCTTGCGTCGGTTTTTATTCAAGAAGAAGAAAATCCCGACTTCCATCCGACCCATATCCCATTGCTGGTCCTCACATTCGGGGTCCAGATACTGGTGTACGATTTAGCGTCGGTCATTGGGCAAGGCGCAATCACGCAAGCCGTCTCTGAAATTTATGTCGGCCAACGCCCTGAGTGGCTTCAATGCCTCACAAAGGCATGGAGTAGAAAGTGGCAACTCCTCGGAGCAAGTCTCATAGTCTACGGATCTTCGTTTGTATCATTGATCCCGGTACTTATCGCCATGAACTTCGCTACCACATATCCGAATGCCTTCACCATCACACTTTCGGTTCTTATCACTGTCGCCTTTATTGCGGGGGTTGTTTACTTTTATTTCGGAGCCATTCTAGCGAGTCCCGCAATCATGGTGGAGGGTTTTAACAGTTCGATGAAAGGAGTGAAACGCTCGTGGGAGCTAGCCGTCGGATCGAGATGTTACCTTATTTGCACTTTGTTTTGTCTCTGGTTCTTGAACCAATTGATCGCTCGTCTTCTCCATAACATGTTTGTAACTGGAGATATTATGGACATCATGTTTTCGCTTGTTGGTGTCGTAGTCACCTTCATCCCAATGTTTCTTGCGTTTCCTTTGCATGCCATGTAAGTTTGGCTTGGTTTTGTTTGGTTTGGTTACTGTATTCGGCGAAATATGTACAATCTTGCACTACGATTCATAAACCCGAACTTGGAACCTCTTTGCATCTTTCTTTGTTTTCTGACACATGTCGTATGGATGTTGACTCAATTCTTTTGTTGGCATTCAGCATGGAAACGGTGCTTTATTTGAACTTGAGAATTGGAAGAGAATCCATGAATCATCAAGTGCTGGTGGGAGATTTGACGAATGACGCCTCACTGGCATCGCGATTTCGACGCGAGGACCAAGGTGGTCCAACCCTATCCGAAGAACCCATGGACTATCGTCATGTTCCATTGGTAGATGCCGATGACACCGAACTGACCGAGCAGCGAAAGGAGCAAACCATGTCGTTCGTCTAGTCTTGGTTTGGCTTGCACAAACAGCTCCAGCAACAACAAACGCAGCTAGATTGTATATAATGAGTCTTTTTGTGGACGGATACTAAAAGGGCAAAACCAAAATTGCGACTCGGTGCAAGTGCAAACAACACGTGTATGACCATTTCCGACATCTGTTGAACGGGAAAACAAGCAATTTGGACTATCCTCTTCTTCAATACAGCAACGTTTATTTTCAACATTAAGTATTTAGTTACGGAAGGAACACCATCCCTTCCAAACCACGTTGGTGGGAATCCCGGCAACAAGTGATTATATTATTATTTCATTAGCTATAGTGGTGGGTGGTTGTTACTTGTTATTGGAAAAAGCATTTAGTAGTATTCGAAGTATGGTACGAGTGTAGCAATCTATTCCTATTTACAGTACGAGTAAGCTCAACATTAATTACATCTTGTTCGGGAGCCCCGAACGCGAAAGCTACAGTACAGGTACGAGTTACGTAGTAGTGTAGTAGCCATAGTACGTACTCGTAATTAAAAATTTAACGGTTCGTAATCATCCCCTGTTGCCCAGGTAGCACATCAGTGTACTTATCATATATACTATATCTAGTTACTATATCATATCTTACACGTGGAAACACGACTGTGCAAGTTTCAAATTGAAAATGCAGGTTTCTGTTCTGCCCTTACACGAGAAAGTTTGGTTTCGATGCGGTGAATTTCATCGGGTGGGAAAATCTTCAATCATGTTTTCAAAATTCGAAAATCTTGCTGTTGACGATGTACTGAACGGTAGGATACCCGGTAATGTACTTGTACCCTACGGCTACCGTATCACGCACGCACGATCGTGACGCCTTCTCCAATCAACATGCCGTCTTCTCCCAGCACGATGCTCCCTACCTTCGATTGGCACACCAAATTTTGTCGTCCCGAAAGGTGCTTTCATCGCACATTATTATTGGTACTGTCACAACCATCTCCTTAGCAACCATGAAGCCCGCGATTCTTTTTCTCTCCATGCTCTCCGCCGCTTCGGCCTTCGCGCCGTCGTTTCTGGGCACCAAACTCTCCAGCGGGTAAGCCGGGGTGTGACGGGATCTGGCGGGATCTGGCCTGGTGCCTTTCGGCCGCGGGATCTGCACGACACGCGTTGCGTCTCTTACACGTTCTTGCTTTGCATGCATCTGTCTCTTCTCTGAACATTGCGACGCATCGGTTTGGATATTCAGTCTGTCGCAATCCGCGTCGACAACCTGCTTGGAAATGAAGTATACTCTCGTTTTGGTCAGGCATGGTGAATCGACGTGGAACGACGAAAACAGATTTACCGGTTGGTACGACTGTCCCTTGAGCGAAAAGGGACTCAAGGAGGCGAACGATGGCGCCAATTTGTTGAAGGAGGCCGGATACACATTCGATGTTGCGTACACGTCTACCCTTCAGCGTGCAATCAAGACGCTATGGATTATTCTCGAAGAAATGCACCTCATGTACATTCCTATCGTCAATACTTGGAGATTGAACGAAAGACATTACGGAGGTACGCAACGTTTTCCCGCTGAACTGTGGTGGCGCACATCTTTTTGTTGTATTGATACCATGCGTTCCAACCAACCAACCCGAAACTCACGATGCTGCTCGTTCGAATTCATTTTTCAGGCTTGACGGGTTTGAACAAGCAAGAAACAGTCGACAAACACGGCAAAGATCAGGTTTTGGTCTGGAGACGCTCGTACGACATCCCGCCACCCGATTGCGATGATTCTTCGGAGTACTACCCCGCAAACGACCCAATGTACGCTAACGTATCGAAGGAAGATCTGCCAAAGTCGGAGTCCCTAAAATTGACCGAAGAGCGCTTCATGGTTGAGTGGGATGCAAACCTGGTTCCCCTGATCAAGAGTGGAAAGAAAGTCATCATTGCCGCTCACGGCAACACCTTGCGTGCCCTGGTCAAACATTTGGACGGAATTTCCAAGGACGATATTACCGGATTGAACATCCCAACCGGTGTTCCGTTGGTTTACGAATTGGACGACGACATGAACCCTATCGCCCAGGAAGGAGCGATCGCCCCGTTGACCGGAAAATACTTGGGAGACCTCGACAAAGTGAGAGAACGCATCGGAGCTGTTGCAGCCCAGACCAAGTAAAGAAGGAAATTAATCCCCAACATTTTTCTTTTTTTTTGTGAGAACGATTGTGCGTTTTGTCTCGAGGCATTGGTTTGGTTGAGGCATTGCAATTCTTCAGTGCAATCCGGTGCCTCTTTTTGTGACGATCACACCAGAATTGCACAACCTCTCCTAGAACGCTTTTTATGATATTGGTTGTTACTGCATCGTTACTTTGTAGTTATATTCTCCATCATTTTGCTCGATAATTTAAACTGTTTCTATGATGATGTACCTCAGAAAAATAGAAGCAAATGTTTCTTTTTCTCTGAGGTACATGCGATGAAGATGAAAAAGCATGCCTTCGGTCCATGGGTCCAACTTGCAATTGAGCGATCAACTACTACGGCAAGTTAGATTCATGGGACCACAAAGAGTAGAATAAAGTATCGATGATTTATACGCATGTTGAACTGATAACCATATGAATAACTATCAATCACTGAAACTAACCATACAGAAAAGATCGTACTCGATTCAACCCTCTAGCTGAATATAAAAAGGTGTGATTTTTTCGTTCATTCTCCTTCTGGAATCGGGCGGAACTCACATCCTTTCTGATGCTCCTACTTAACCTGAAGGAAGCTCTCCAAATAATCAGTTAGCGCATGTGTCTTCGCTGTGCAAACCTCGTAGGATTTGTTACCCAGCAGCATCAAGAATTGGAAAAAGAATATTCCTGCCAAGAACCATGCATCCCCATGCTCGGCAATAGCGTCGAACCATTCCCGGCCGAAATGGCGAAGACTGCATGCTGCAAGAATAGGAGTGGATATAAATACCAACGTGGCGTTTTTCCAATCAGTGTTTGGTTTTCCTGCGAAGAAAAGTATCGCCAACCAACCGAGAAACAGCAAAGAAATCTTGAAAAATTCACCAGCGGACACCAAGCATTCTGGAATCGGCAGCTTTTCAAAAGCATGGGCGTCAAGAAAAGGAATCAATGTCCAAAAGAAACAGCGAATCAAAATTTTCAGCCCAAGATATGGCACGATCAACAGGATCGGCAGTGTCGTCAATAAGCAGCATAAGAAGGGAAGTGTCGTTGCAAACAATCCCGATAACAAAGAGTTCGGAATGAGAACAATAGGCGTGTAACCATCTTTAACCTTCTTGCTTCCGAAGCATCCTTCAAAAAGCCATTTATGAGGTTTTTCGTTGGAGAACTTTATATTGCAAGACGACAGCCATGGACTTGGCTTGAAGAAATGAGCATGTTCACCCGGGGCATGACGGTAGCGTGTCAAAGGAGGTGCCAATGGAAAAAGATCACGATGGTTCGTAATACGAAAATGCTCAAACGAATTACCGAGCCCATCATTCTTTTCTACTAGATTCGATTTTTCGTCCTTGATTGTATCCGACTGTTCCTCGATTTCGTTCGATAGAAGAACATTGAAAGCCCGTTGGAATCCAATATTCCCAACCATTGGGGCTGCAAACGTTATGCATTGAATCACTGCTTTCTCGTTTGCATTTGCATCCTCGATATCTTTGTCGCATGCTAGAAAGAATGAGGCCAATGTCGCTAGAGCTCCTCCCAATGAATGTCCCGCAACAACCATCTTTTCTGTTTTTCTGGGGTTAAATTCTTTATCTTCCAAAAGTATCTTGGCATCATTCTTAATGCTCTCGTACTTACAACAGTCATCCGCTTTGTCGTTTGGTTTCCGAAACAAATAGTTCAGAAATCCTTGATGAACCAAAATGGGTATTTCCTTATTGAGGTAACCCTTCGCCTTACTTTGCTTGTCATCCATTTGATCATCTTGATTGAGGGCCTTCTTCAGCTTTCTTGCCAAATCAGAGTTGATTTCAATTTTGAAAAAAGAACTTTGTTCGACAAGGTATGCCTTTTTCCGCACGTGTTTGTCACAACGGATTTTGATCTCTACAAAAGGAGCTTGGATATTCTGGATCCAATCGCTTGCTGTAACAGAGCCACGAAACACAATATATATCTCGTTCTTTTGGTTTTGGTCGCTGAGCTCTCTTTCGAGGATAGCATGCACAAGTTGTCTATTATGATCTTTGGCGTCAAACTTCTGAAACCAGATCTTTTCGTATGATTCATCCGAGATTTGGCCAGTGAGTTCGTCGCTCCAATCAAGTGTCGTTGACTTCAAATCCTTCTTCATCATATCCTTAACATCAAATATCGTTTTTATTGGGATTTTCGGCGTTACACGAACGCTTTTGTCCATTCCGACCTGGCCCGACATCACTTCCTCTATTGAATGCTCGGATTCTTTACCATCTTTTCCCCACATGAAAAAACGTTTTTTTTTTCCTGCATCGTCTACATGTTGAAGATATTGCTCTCTAAGGTCAGCGGCGTCGAGTCCCCACTCCTCGATAACCTTTCTCAATTCTCCAAAACGGTAAACTAGATCGGATAAGAACAACGCGTAGATAAGGCGTTTACGGTCGGCGTCGGTTTCTTCGTCGTTCGCAGTACCCATTTGGAATTTGGAATGAACGACAGTTGTAAATTGTGAACACGCCACTAATATTTGTTCGGAATGATATACCTTCTGCTGAATTCACACGCATGATCGTTAAACTGACGTACGCGGAAAGTCTTAAAGTGTCAATCACACTATTAACTGAATAAAACTATAAAGAATGAGAATTCTCTTTTATCTACCCTCTGGTCATCATATCCTGCCCTTGGGTCATTTTCTCAATGTCACTCGCTTTTTCTCATTCCACACGTATTTACCATAAATTGGTGATGCCACGTCATTGGTTATTTAGAGCGTAGGGTTCGCTAGTGACCGTTACGGTTCGCTTGCATACATCCGGGTTACTGTTCCTCAACACACTCCTGTGATCTTATCCAGCTGTAACGGTGACTGCTGTATCGCATTGCTGTTGCTGCTTTATAAGATCATCCTCCATAGCTTTCTTTTGCCGTAACTGTTCCCTACGGTGTAGCTCATCTTCCACGCTTCGCCTGTATCCTGGTATATCCTCCTCGTTAATCCCCAGGACTAGGTTTCGGAACTTCCGGAATAGGGATCCTTGTAGCGGCTTGGTGAAATAATCGGCTATCATATCGAGAGTTGGGCAATATTCCACGCTTACTTCCTTTGCATTGATGCGATCCGTGATAAAGAAATATCTTATGTCCATGTGCCGTGTTCTTTTACCACTGGACCTCTTTCCGTTCCGGGCCAACTTTATTGCACTTTGGTTGTCCTGATATAGAATATTGTCCCGTAGTGGAAATCCTTGGGCCTCTAGAAAGTACCTTGTCCATAGCACCTGTGTCATTTCATCATCTACCCCAACAATTTCGGCCTCTGTTGAGCTCCTGGTGTTGAGCTTTTGCTTCGACGATCCGGAGCAGGGCGATCCCTGACCCATGGTCATTGTCATGCCCGTGTGGCTTCTCATGTCTTTGTGGACTGCGAAAGCCGCATCGACGTGCCATCTTAGGGTCCCGGAACCATCGATTCCCAGCACTAGAGGAAGACCCATGGTTCCACGAAGGTACTTCATCACTCTGTCCAGTTTCTTGAGATCGTCCTTATCCGGCTGCTTCACTCTTGTGCACAGAAACGCCACTGGRAGTTGRATGTCCGGTCGGGCTCTTTTAGCGAGGAATAGCAGCTTTGCTGTATTAGTATGGAATATTGCACTCGCTTCCATGTCAAGCAACAATGGATCCTTTTCATTGACGTTGAACAGATGTTCACCCGCCGGCGTCGCGGACTCTCCCGMTGAAAACATGTCGTCTGGTAACTCATTCAACATGTTTGATATATAGTCATACATTGTGAACTTCACCACTCCTTGTTGGTTGAAATCGATGGTCATGCCCAGATACTCATGCACTTTTCCTCTTGTCTGTACCAGTGGGCTAACCCTTCCGTACTTCTCGTTGATCTGGTTAAGGACTGATGTAACCACGGCCTCTGATACGTGTGACACCTTTATATCATCGACATGCCATAATATGGTACACTGCTTATCCTCCACCATCTTATTCATGACGCACCAATCATAGGGGTTCACTGCGAATCCCCACGATTTGAGATCGGTACTGAGCTTGATCCAAAATAGGAGGGCTGCATTCAGTGTTCCATATATCGCCTTGAGGCATTCAACATACAAATATTTCTTTCCTTTCTTATCCACTTTGATGTGTTCCTGATATAATTCGGGTTCCATTTCCACAAGTAAATCTAACATTACACCATCCAGTCGAAGGTGAGTATTCCCACTGGAGTCCTCAGTCTGTAGAAATGCCCCGGGTATATCAGCTGTGGCCACATCTCGTTCCTCGAATGCATCTATCATGCATGACATCATGAGTGCTTGTACTGATACTGTTGGAGACGTGGTGTCCTCCTTTGTCATCCAATCTCTTTGCTTCCTACCATCAGCACAACCTCTTCCTTTTATGTCCCCACTCCGCTTCTCTTTTAGGAACATGAGATAGGCCAAGGCTCTTGCCTTTTGYTCATCDGTCAGCTTCGCTGCACTAACAGGCTTGGCTACTTTGCGGTCATGGAACTGCTTCAGTTCTTTCCTAATTGCATCAAGACCACGTTCTCCAAAGATCTTAAGCCCTGCCTTCACTCCGTACTGTGTCATGAGAATTTTATTGAGTTGCTGGTAAAATCTGTCCTCCGATTTATTTAACTCCACCATCGCATGTATAACCATGGCATATGTAGTCATGTCCTTCACATTCTGATGCCCCTCTGTCACATTAGCGTATCCGACAGTCTTGAGGTGTCGGTACGACCTGTCGCGTCTCGTGCGGAGACCGTACGGTTCCCTTTGGTGTGTTTCCGCTTGGGTACCATCATCCTTGTCGGGCTCACCCTCAGCCGACCCGGGATCCTCCACTCCTGTAGGCTCAAGCTCATCGCTTATATCTGGTACCCCTGTTGGTTTAGCAACCCCACTGTCAGTCTCTTCATCTTCGACACTTGCTGCTTCGGTGTCGTATTCGGAATCAGTGAATTCATCCTCCTCCGGCACCGGTTCATCCACGTATGTTGAATCGTCTTGTGATGACTCGTCGTCTTCTCCACCTGCGTGAGGCTCCTCCCTTTCATTATCATGATCCACCATCTCCACACCGTTACGATCCCAGAACACCAGTCCATCCGGATAGTTTTTTGCTAGTTGATGGACCCGGTCTATCACCTCATTTGGCATGGGAACAGGTGTGCAGCTGGTTCTATTAAGCACTCGTCCAGTCTTGAGGCTGTAGAAATAGTGGCCTCCTTGCGAGTTCCCGGTTGGCCGCAATGCTAATGCTCCGACTGTCCGTGGATGGGATGTATCATTATCAGTTGGTTCATGTGTTTGCACGTATTCACCAAACTGCAGTTGCACATGCTTGGTAAAGTCAAGCTCCTGGCCTGTTACAATTGCTCGCGGGCTCATACTGGTCGATATCCCTTTTTGCTTTGGTAGTGAATTCCACCAGAAGACTTGGCTTGCTACTAATTTGACAGTTAATCTCCCCGGAAGCTTGGTGAATGGGAGAGTRCAYTGGACTCCCCTGATYCGCTCCTTGATAGTYCTGATAAAGCGCTCTATCTCGGGGACGTGCTCATCTCTTGCTGCAAAGTTTGGTGTTATTCCAAGCTCCTCGATATTGCTCCTAATTGGGGAGAATTCACCATCCATGTTGATAGASACGATGTTGAAKCCTCGCTTGGAGTATAGTCGTTTCACTTGCTCCAAACACTCAACCAGYGTTGCTACTTTGGAATTCARTATCATTTCAACGGTTCCAAACTGTATATGCCGTGATATCGTAATGAAGAATCTGATGCCATTCACATACATTATATCGCCTCCCAATTCCACCCGTGAGTATTTCGCAAGCATAGTATCAGGTAGGGATTTGATCTCGACCCTGACATGCTTCTCTGGTCTYCTAACTGTTTTTCCTTTGAGTCCAACCACKGTTGGACCAAGCAGCTCYTCTGCRATCTTTACATCTTCACGAGTCACACTACAGTTCCTGATGTAGTTGTTGTCAATTAGTCTCAACATTTCCTTGGTGGTGATGTTCAGTATGTCCTGCACTTTGCGGGCCTTCAGTGCTCGCCGGTGATCTARGTCTGAAAACTTTGTCCCGTTTCCTRCCACYGTGGAAATTGCCARCARTATGGATTGGTCCTGCATCATATCACTATAGTATAAGCCACGACGGGACTGTTTGAACTCTCGGTATCTGGTTCCATCACTACTGTACATTCGGAAGATGTTGTCGACCTTGCTATCATATGTAACTCTATGGTGTTGCTTTATTGCGGATAGGGATAAGATATTGGCTATCCCCTCCTTGTGATACCAGACGGTTCCGATTCCTTGAAAGTCTCCTATCCAGTTTGTGGAGGCCACTCCTGCATTGCAGTATATTTTCATGTTCCTATCGGTCTGTCTGATGTTCGTAAGAAGCTTTGGATTGCTAATAACGTTAACCGTTGACTGGTTGTCCAGAAGCAACCAGTTTGGATTAATATAACCTCCGGATTGGCTCAGTATGGTGTTGTAACTAACACACGGTGTACTCTGGCTGTTGTTATCCGTTACTGTTGACAGCGTGCAGAACATTAGTTGGCATGGCGAATCGTTGTATGTGTTGAGTACATCACCGACTGTCATGTTCGCTGTACCAACTGCTGTAGCCGTCACTGGGGCTGCTGGCTCCCGCTCCTCCGGTTCCTTTTGTTGGAGTTGCCCGGATTCACTGTTATAGCTGGCTATATCCTCTGGCTTGCACATGCCCTGCCAGGAGAAATGCCCGGGCTTCCCGCACTTATAACATATAACGGTCCCTCGGTTTCTTCCCCGGCTGTTATTGKWCKRC